AATGACGAGAGTTTTAAACATTATCGCTTATTTTTGCAGAGGAAGACTTAGAGGGCAAAACAGAGGAAGAAATAGAAATGATGAAGTTAATGGGATTTGCCTCCTTTGACTCCACAAAAGTAAGTAAAATACACACAAAGCAATATACAGATGATGCATTATAGAATTGTACACTTGACACCTACATAATTTTATTAAACACTTTGTCACCCCCAATGAATTTAAAAATTAAAAGTAAAACGCAGCCAGTTGAGCATTCTGATTTGAATTAATCCCTAATGACTGTCCCATTTTTCATATTCTTTTATTAACACTTGTGTAATTTCTTCCACTGATACAAGTTTATTCTGTTAGAGAACAGTAACTGTCTGTGTGAAGGCTTTGAGAGCACAGAGAAGGAAGCAGTGAGGTGTCATTGGAATCCAGGGAGTGTTTGCCTGGGGATGATGTTAGAGTTTGATTTTAAATGTCCAATAGATGATCAGACAAAGAAGAGGAAGATCATTTGAAGTAGAGTGAAGAGCTCATGAAAATGACATGTAGGCATGAAGCAATATAGTGTATTATGGGAATTTCAAATTCAGTGACTGGTCAAAGAATACAGCTAGCTAGTGACTTTAGTGAGGCTAGAAATAGAGGTAAGAGGCAAATCACATAGGGCTTTGATACCCTTAGCCATGCTAGAGTTGATTCCTTAGGTGTTGAGAGGAAGCAGTGATTTTTAAGAAAAAGAGTGACAGAATTATATGTGTTTTAGAAAGATGACCCGGGACAGCATGGAGGACAGATGGGAGGCGGGTTAGATTGCAGGCAGAGAGAACTGCTGAGTCGTGCAAGTGAAAGCTGATGAAGGCCTGAACTGAGAGGAGGGGTTGGAATATTGAGAATCATTCAGGAGTCTAAGTTAGTGGTAGGAGTGGTGGGAGTGAGTAGTCAGTGATGACTCTGAGGTGACAGACTGAAAGACTGCATGGTAGGGTTAACCAGGAAAGGGTTATGAGAAAGGTAAGTGCTGTGGAAATTCAGCTGCCAGATAACATTCAGCTGCCAGATAAAATTCAGCTGACATTGGGTAGCTGCTTATGTCTCTCATAGCTCAGAAGATGGGTGATATGGAAAGTGAATGCTGTCTAGCCTTAATCGTAATACCAGAGACAATAAAGAAGTCAGAAGTCGGAGAGGGATTGTGGAAGGGGAGATATAGATAGAGATTATAGGAAGGAAGAGGGGAAGAGTGGAGAGAGATAGGAGAGAGGGAGGGGGGTGGAAAGAGAAAACGGAAAGAGGATGGGGATGGAGGGAGCTAGTAAGGATAGAGGGACAAGGTGTGGAGAGAGAATATATTTTTTAAAACTTTCTTTTCTAGAATTTTACATCCATTTGATTTTGCACATGGAAATTGAGGGTTTTTTTGAGAAAAATAATCCCCTAATCTTTTGTTCCATTGAGTTATGAATGAAGTGGCGTAATTTTAGATGCTGTGAAAGTTTCTAACTGATGTGATTGTATAGGGCTCAGTGAGATGTGAGCCCTATACAATCACATCAGTTAGAAACTTTCATAATTCACTTTACTGCTTACTCATCAGTCTCACTCAGCACAATTAGAGCAAAATGTATAAACTAAGCAGTACTGAGGCAACACTGTTTTGAGGTGAGAAAATTAAGAATGAGCTCTTATTCTCACAAATGGTTATCTGAACCCCGTTTGGGTATTTAATACAGTTTATGTATCAGCTTTTTTCCCTCAAATATACCAAATCTTTGTTTTCCAAAGAGCAATTATAAGTGAAATGATTTATTAATATATATTTAGGGTGAATAAAAATATCTCCAAAGTAAAGCAACTATAATTTTGTTTTTAGAAGAATAAAGAGGGAACTTAACAATTATTTTCTTTGGGGGTGGGGGGGGCGGGGTTACTGTTGCCCGATGTTATGTTTGAAATTCCTGACAATCAAATGTAAAGATGAAGTCTCACTTTGCTTTTAAATGTAGAGTGTGCTGAAGATGTTTATTTATGAAGGAAAAATTAGGTGAGAATTCTTAGATCCCATAGAAGTTACGGAGCACCACAAGAACAAATGATGTCAGTTGTTGTTTTAATGACATCTACAAGGATGTTAATTTAGTTTGTATGCAGTTAGTTTCATAACTATTAGCTATAAAGTTTCTCAGCTCACTTGTGTTTTTTAGTAATGTGTATCGTGATATTTCATTGATTTATGATAGGACCTCTTCATATGCCAATTTTTTCATATGCCTTCCATTTTTACATTTTACAGAATTCAAAGTTTGGTTATGTTTATTAATAGATAATTTTCTACTCCCGCAGGAAAATGAAAATAGAGCTAATAATACACAACTCTGCAAATAGTTTTAAAAAATCAATGTCTTTAGGAATTGAATTTAGTAAAAAGGTTAGCATTATTTACTTTTTTTCCAAGCCATGCCTACTTTCTGTTCCTGAGGTCAAAATCATATACCCCAAGTAATTTACCCAGTATTCTTTCTCCCCTCCCCCAAAATTTAGTAAAAACTGGAATAGAAAAGTAAGAGCAAATATATTTATTTTAACTCCACTTCAAATATGTACCTTACCTGTACATGCCTTTAGGCCAGTGAATAAGAGTCCTTTTTTTTGCCCTAATACATATCTAATAAGTATGCTACTCAGTTCAATCCTGGGTTTCGGCACCAAAAAAGAAAAGTATACTGCAAGGATAGGGTACACTCTCATGAGTAATAGTGGGGGAGTGAGGGGGTTGAGGGTCACATGTATGTGTGTGTGTGTATGTGTGTGTGCACAATGGGGTAGATGAGGTGTGTGTGTGTGTGTGTGTGTGTGTGTGTGAGAGAGAGAGAGAGAGATATAGATAGATGTGGCATTAACGGATGATGTTCATCCATTTTAACAGTCATATTCTGAGCACCTGCAAGTGCAGTGCCCTAGGATGTGAGAAGGCAAAGGTGACTCAGTCATATCCCTCCATCAGGAAACTTGCAGTCTCATGGTGGAAATAATATCAAACATATATACAGGAAAGCACAATTAACATTCTTTGGGAGTTAGAGAAGAGGGCGTGTCCTGCCACCTAGGTCATTTGAATTGGGCCTTGAACAATGCATAAGAACCAGGTAGTTGAAGATGGATGGGAGTTGGGAAGGCAATTCAGGCAAGTGGTACGTTAACTTGGCTGACTCAAAAGACCCATAAAGAAATTAATGAAAGATAGTAGATGCCACATAAGAAAGGAAGGCCAAGATATAAGTGACATTTAACATTAGCATTTATTATTCTGTATTCCGATTCTTGATTTAAAAATCAAAATTGCAAGGCCTGTGCAAGAAATGGCATTTATATGATTGGTGACTATTCCAGCTGTGAATTGGAAATGCTATGAGCTAAGGTCATAAGTTAAATTTTATATGAATGTGAAATTTTATAGATAAAATATCCATAACCTGTATGTAGTTTCAAAGAATTCTTTGACCCATAAAGGTTAGGATCTGCCACCCTATTTTCCTGCACGCCTCTGACATAATATATAAACCATGAATGTTTATCGGTTGGAATATTATATTAATCACTTATGTGTGACTATAAAAATGTGAACAGAAAGTCATAATACTTGGGAGTTCATGGCATATCATCAGGGTCTCAGGATTTTCTTTCTCTCATTGGGCTACCTCATTCTTAGGTGGATCTTGCCATTTAAGTGTGTCTTATAGGAGCCAGCTCTTGGATCAGTGCTTTCCTCACAATACCCTCCCTGTTCCAGCCTGTATGTATCCTTCCTGTTTTTTATATTTGTTTGTTGCTTTTCTCCAGGGGAAAAAGGTGGATGGCTCTGTTAATGCCTATGCCATAAATGTGTCTCAGAAGAGGAAGTATAGGTATGATAACAACCCCCATTATTATGTTTGAAACAATGATACAAATTATGCACTTGGGAAAGAATATATTATTGGATAATCTTGTTTGTAGGAAATGTAGCAGTTTTCTGTACAGTCCTTTGTTTTAATCTTCCTTGCTTATATTCTGGTGTGTTAAAATAATTTCCAGTTTACATGTGAACTAATAACTATTATAGAGTAGGGTAAATTGACATGAATGTTTTAGGACTCTATAGATAGTTCTATTTCAAAACAGCATTAAAAAAAGTCTTTAGGCTTTAATTCATTATAATTATAAGCCTAAAATAGATCCCTCCTGAAAAACTTACCTAGATTAATTGTATAAGGATTTCAACTGTATAGGCATATTTTATTAACACCACAGAACAAACTAATTCACACTTGAAATCTCACTGAATTCCTAATGAATGGAAAAGTCAAGAAATCTTCAAACATTGCCTTTCTCTTTACCTTTATCACTGATGAAGGACTAATATTCCAATTAATTTAGAATATGAATAATGCTATTTGAGAATGCTATGAATTGAAGAACCAGAATCATTGACAGTCATTTATAAATTACCTTCAAATAAGATTTTATGGGGAAAAATAGTATAGTGTGCAATTGGATTTACTTGATGGGTACCTATTTTGACACTCCTCTCTATTTCCTTAAACTTAGGTGTTTAGTGTTGCCTAAAATAAGTATGGATTTTCAGTTGATTTTTTTTAAAGTCTGTAGTATCTTCTCAAACAGTTTTGAAAGTATATTTCCATACTTGTATTTGAATTTTAAAGAAACCTAGAAGGCTTCGGATTATTTTGAAAGTGAAATCTTCTTAATGTACATTAAATAACCTTGAATTTTTCTTACTCTAGACTTGGCCATTTTAAAGGTGATTTGTAGGTTTAATCTCTGAAGCATGTGATGATATTTTTTTATAAGAGGAGTCCAGAATTATTTTTAGTAAACACTGAATTTTTTTCTTCTTGTCATAGGCAGTACATGAATCGAAAAGGTGGATTCAACAGACCTTTGGATTTCATTGCATGAGAATTGAAATGTAGAATGATTTTTTTTCACACATCTTGATCAGAAGAGTGGATTTTGTGTTTTGTATTTCATATGCATCAAAAATAAGATCAGAGTCCTTTGTAAAGTAAGAAACTGTTATTTATGATGTGTGTGGTTCACTTACCCTGCCTCAAAAGAAGAAAGGTTAAATATTACTTTTTTTTTTTTTTTTTAGGAAATATCGTTTGGGGCAGACATCAGCCTCATTTTTTTATCCTTATTCCTATGGAAGTTGTATATGTTTTCTTCTTGGATGCTTGTTAGGACTTTTTAAAACACATAAAAGTAATTTGGATGTAAGTTTCTCAAATAAAACAATATTTCTACCCCTTTGTATTTGATAAATATTTTATTCTTGTATAAAAGTATCTCCCTACACATTTCCTTTTTTCATACATAGATTTAGATATCATGATTCTTAGTAGTTTAAAAGTTAGAAGAATGAAAAAGTATACTGGATTTTTGAATCTTCTGTTGGTATTCTATTGATTACTTTCTCCCATTTTAAAAGCAATACATGATTATTGTTAAAAAAGAAAAAAAAAAAACCTTAGAAGAAACCAAAAAGTAAAAGAAAAGCCAAATCACCTATAATTTACCCCTGGAAATAATTAATGTTAATATTTTGTTATATATCTTTCCAGGTTCCTATGGGTATATATTTCTCGCTCCCACCCATGAGATCAGAATGTATATACTGTTCTCTTTTGCTAATCCTTTTTCTCACATCTGCTGTGAATTTTTTAAAATAATTTCTTACACATTCTTTGGAAACTTAGCTTTTAGTAGATACTTGGTTGTACCATAATTTATTAACTAATTCTTTATTGATGAACATTGGCTTCCTGCCCATAACTTGCTATGAGTAGTATCCCTGTTACATGTATATTTTTGTACTTGTTGCAGTATTTTCTCAGGTTCACTTCTTAGATGTATTATTGCTGGGTGAGATACAGGGGAGTGTGTGCGTGTTTGAGGGCTTTCGAGATATACATATATATACATATACACACACACACATACACTTATGACTAGAAAGGTAACAACTGACTAGTGAAGTATGAGCATTCCCATTTCATACATATATACCGATATTTTGGTGTAATTTTTAGGAGTGTCCAATCTGATGGATAAAATCATGGTATTTGGTTTAATTTATTTTATTTCTAGGGAGGATGAACATTTTAAAAACATGTTAGCCATATATATTTCTTTTGTGAAATGCTAATTCCAAATCTTGGATCCATTTGTCTTTTGGCAAGCTTTTTGTTTTCTTATTTGAAGGAAGTCTTGTTTATATTGAAGATAATAACCATTACCCATTCTATTTTCCATCTCACTGATATTTGAGGCTCTGGTTCGATTTTAAATTTGAGGATTTTTTATTTGAGTAACTAATACACATGAAACACAATTGAGACAGTACAAAGGGTATACTGTGATGAGCTGATAGTATATTTTTTCAGAGATATTCCATATATACACAAACATATCTATCTCTTATTCAAATGGAAGCAAACTTTACACACTATTTTGCATCTAGCCTTTTTTCAGTTACTTGTACATTTAAGATTGTTTCTTATTAGTACATGTACTATTGCCCTTTTTTTAAGGGCAGCAATTATAGTCCATTGTATGATGGACTATAATTAAATTGAACTAATTCCCCATTGATGGACATTCAAGTTGTTCTAATCTTTTACTATTAAAAAAATTTTATAATCACTATTCTTATAGGTACATAAGTGTCTTTAGCTGGATTTTTTAATTCTTTATTGCATCTGAAATTTGACCACCTATTATAGTTCTTTAAAAGTTTTCCTGGCAAGTATTTTCTATAAGGAAGATAGTGGTAGTCTGACTGCATTGCATAATACAGTGTACAGAACACCTTGGTTCACTTAATCCCTATGTGTTAGAGCAGGTATTATTATCTCCGTTTCCCAGAAGAGAAAGCTGAAGCTCATCAGACATAAAGGCAGAAATTACTGGTATTGAGACTACCTGCTGGCTTCCGTGCTTAAATATTTGAATGTGCTACATCCGTTACACAACTTGTACTACCCATTGCATAAGTGTCACTGCCCAGGCAGTGGATTATTTTGCTTGGACTTTTTGCCAGCTGAGCTAAATAGACTCCCATATCCCCACTCACCAAAATACTTGTGTATCTATAAATTATCCATGCTAAGGACTGTTTCTGACCACATTTGTACATACCTAAGGAAGGCAGACCCAATTGTTGTTTTAATAAGGAAACGAAAAATTCTGGATAAAACAATATATCCCAAACCAAATTACAAGTCTTTGGATTGTCATCTTAGTGTTTGGATTAGTAGAAATTTGACTTGAGACCCTTAAGGCAGCATACTTTGTAAAGAAATAATTTGAGAATACCTAGTAGATCAGTAGGTTTCCTCTTCGTAAGCTAATACCAAAGGAATGGAAAAGGAGGAAGTGTTCAAAAATCCAGAGATAAGACACCTCTGATCCTAAGTCTTGGTCTGAAGAAACTGATGCATCAGATCATCTGATACTATAAGAATAATGAAGATGGAAGGAACATCTTTGTCTTGTCAGTCAGCAGAAGTTATGCCAAATCTTCTGTTTCTAAGCATCTAAACGTTTTAGTGCTCCAGAGCTCAGTCCCTGGGCTCCCCAATCTCCCCTGGTGAGTCACCCATTCGAGGGACTTCAAACATCTGTCATAGCTCTCAAATTTATATTTCCAGCCTGACCGTTTTACTGAATTCCAGGCTTATGTATGCACCTAGATTATCAGGCACCTAAAATTTAAGGTTGACTGAACTCTCATTTCCCTGCCCAGTCTTCTCTGAGGCTTCCCCATCTCAGTAAACGGCCCCTCCACTTGTTCCTTTGCTCAGACCAAAATCCTCAAGGTCATCCTTGACTCCTCTCCTTCTCCCATGCCCCATATCTGATTCATTGGCAAAATCTTTTGGCTCTAACCTGATAGTAAGATTTACTGAGGTATAGTTGACACAAAATTATAAGATACGTCAAGTATACATTGTAGTGATTTGATATATGTTGAATCTGACCACTTTTCACCACCTGTACTAACCTATCACTATACCATCGCTCTTGCCTGGCCAATTGCAGTAGCCTCCTTCTTCCTCTTACTGCCATAGTTTATTCTCCATCCAGCAGCGGAGATGAACCTTTTAAAATTGCTCTGGCTCTGGTGGTGTTCTATATAGTATACAGTCCGGTCCTTACTGTGGCACACAAGCCTGAACAGTCTGGCCCCCTGGCATCTCACAGCCTCACCCCACACTGCCGGCCTCCTTGTCATTCCCTGAGAACAGCTATGTGTCCACTTCAAGAGTCTTCCTCCTAGACTGTTCCTCCTCTCCACCCTCCACTTCCCAGTTTTGCATGGACAGCTTCTTTATGTTGTTCAGGTCTGCTCAAAATAAGATTCCCGAACACCTTATCCAAAATATCAAACCCCCTTCCCTCTCTATTCCTTTACCTCTTTTTAAAAAAAGATTTTAAAAATTGAGATAAAATTCACATACAATTCACCCTTTCAAAGTACACTATCTCAGTGGTTTTTAGTATATTTACAGTTTTGCATCCGTCACCATTAATTCTAAAACATTTCATCACCCCAAAATTAAACTCTGTACTTGTTAACAATCACTCCTCATCCCTCCCCACCCAGAAACCACTAATGTACTTTGTCTCTAAAGATGTGTCTATTTTGGACATTTTCATATAAATGGATGTTTCGTGTGAATGGAAATCACAATATGTAGTCTTTTGTGTCTGACTTGTTTCACTTAGCATAATGTTTCAAGGTTCATCCATGTTGTAACATGATCAGTACTTCATTCCTTTTTATGGTAAAATAATATTCTATTCTATGGACATACTACATTTTTTATTTATAATTCATCACTTGATGGACATTTGGATTGTTCTACTTCTTGGCTATTATGAATAATGCTGGTATGATCATTAGTTTACAGGGTTTTTTTTGTATGAACATGTTTTCAGTTCTCTTGAGTACGTAACTAGGAGTGGAATTACAGGGTGATATAGAAACTCTGTGTTTAACTTTTTGAGGTACTGTCAAACTGTTTTCCAAAGCAGCTGCACTCATACATTCCAGCCAGCAATGTATGAGGATTCCAGTTTTTTCTCATTCTCTGTAAAGTTTCCTTTTACTTATAGCTTATCACTGCCTGACACACTCTCTAATCATTTACTACTTTCTAGTTCTTCCACTAGACAAGAAGAAATTGGCACAGAGTAAGGCGCTCAGTAAATATCTGTTGAATTTGTGAATATATTTCAGTGACCTTTTTGCACTTAGCTGCTTCTCTTTTTATGTTAACCTTTAGTTACCCAAGTAATAAATGGACACATTCTTCCTGTAAAAATTTTAAAACATTATGATGAAGCTAAATCCCTTTTGAACAGTACCCCATAATCCTGGTCCTATTGCACCTTCCTTACTGAGACTCCTTTGCACTGTGTCCTTCCAGACGTCTGCTTTGCCTACGCATGCATGTGACAGAGTTGGAAATAAAAATACAGTTTGGGTTTGGTTTTTTTTAAACATAAATAATATACTGTGGGGATCATTTTACAACTAATTATTTAGTTGACACTGACTTAGAGCTCTTTCCATGCTGTTATATGTACCTCTACCTTTTTTTAATTGCTACATAGTGTTTTTTGTAATATATATACCATTTTGTTTAACCATTGTTGTTTATAAAATCACAAATATTTATGGAGTTACTAATTTTTGCAAAGCAGTGTTTTTAAAGATTTTTAAAAACTTAATATGATACTGGAGTGTCCAAAGTAGCTACAAGGAAAATTAATATTATTGAAACAGGAAATTCCATTCCTGAGTTTTATACTTTGAAGAACAAAATAAATTCCTCAAAAACTTAAACAAAACTCATTTTAATATCAATGGTTAGGAGATATCAAACTCAGTTATAAATAAGGTACTTTAATTCTAGTTTTGGAAACTTAGAAATTTAGGGATTATAAGGCACCAGTTGTCTTTTCCCTGCCACTCTGAGGTACTCACTGAATAGGCATCTCTCTGTCGAAACTCATGGCATTTTATGAACCTGCTTGTCACTCATCATTGGCAACCATGTACTCTCCTATGCTCACATGGAGTATAAGCCCCTCAAAGGCAGCAGACTGAGTCTTAGCTTTCTAAAAGGTGCAGTAAAAATTACCTGACAGGTATAATAGTTTGTGTTTGTGTTTTCCATTTCAACATTTTTTATTTCCCAATTCTGTTAGGTGATCTTGATGCCTGTTCAAAATAGCATAAACTATTGTAATCTCATGTTTATGCTATTACACATAGTTTTTGTTTAGAATCCTGGTCATAAAATTCAGATTCAGACGTTCTAGAATTTCCAATTTTTATTTTTGAGGTTATGTCTACCATACAATGCTTATGTAACACCTTTGAGGTGCTAGGTGCTGGGGGATCACCACTTCTACTTTGTTTTAGAATTTTCCGTTCTTTCTTCAAGACATGTACCTTCAGATTATCTTATTTAACTGATCATTGTATACATTTGTGTGAAATCTAGAAAAACAAAAAACCTTTGTTTTATACTTACTACTTGATTTCCAGTAGAGGGCACCAAATACCCTCTGAAGTTCATGATACTAATTCCTAGTTGGTGTTGCTGGCTAATCATTTTTTCCACCACCACCAGGGTCCATTCTTTCATCTGATTCTCTGTTATATAACTTTGTATTTTTGTTTGGAATTTAAGATATACCTGTAGGCATTTAAATTATTGATTTTCTATTTGACTCAGATTTCAACCTTTCTCCTTTTTAAATTTTTTATAAATGTGATTTTCAATCAGGGTGATTCTAAGGGAAGGATCATGATATTGAAATAAGACTGGGTTTTAAAAAGTTGAAGGTAAGAGAAAGAATAAAGAGATGTGCTGAGTATTCATAATAAAATCAAAGAGAAAATATAAAAGTATACAAAACCCCAAATTAAGGTAATGAAATCAAAGCATTTTTACCAGCGTCAGTTTTTGTACTTTAGTAGAATTGTATTCATTTCATTATGATTTTCAAATTCATTTTACAAGTAATTTGCTATTTAAAAATACTCCTTAAAATGGTTATATCCCCATTCTCATTTCCAATTTTTTGTGCTTTCTTGAAAACCTTACCTTCAATATATGTATCTACTAATGTTTTCATAAAGAATTAGCTTTTAGATCCAATTAACCATTAAAACCAGAAAGTGTTTCCTGTATGTCAGGAATGCTTTACTGCATTAATTCTACTTACTAATTCTGTCGATTTGTCAACCATTGAAAAGGACCCTTTTAAAATTTCCCATCATAATTATCTTTAAATATTTTCTTTTCCCCCAGTGTTTGAGTGTCAGTGACTCAGTCTAGAAATCTATTTAACTGTCTTGTCTTTAGAACTACCAATAGCAGCAATGATAGCATGGGCTCTGGGGGAAACAGGTATAGGTTCAGTTCCTACCTAATGGGGGTGATATTAAGGAATAGAGAAAATGTATGCAAACTACCTGACAAAGTAAGCTATTATTGTCATATATTAGCAACATTAAACTTTTTTAAAAACTTTGTGAAGTATTTTCATGCCTCACTCATTCCTATATTCAGGACTCTCAACGTACTAAATTTTATTTCTGCTTTTTAAAATGGAAATGTCAGTATATTAACAATGTAATTTGGGTCTCGAGATAACTTTCATCTCAGAAATCTTGACAGGCTTAGGAAACAATTCGTAAATAAACTTTTTAGTTCTAAATACATTTATATTAAACACCCCCCCAACACACACACAAACACACCATTTATAGCTGTCTGGAAAAGAAATTATTCTTTTGAACGTTTTCATCTAAAATTAAAAGGGAAGGAAAGACCCTAAAAGAGATTTAGGTCAAAGAATCTCGGGATTCAACGTAATTCAGTAGGTACAGAAGTTTCCAAGCTTTCAAAACCCACTCGAGTGAGGGTGGTGGGGAGTGCGTTTGGAGAGGAGCTCAGTACTGTATATACAGACGCCCGATTCTAGCGCTTTCTGAAAGAAGAAAAAACCCTGGGAGGCGACCATTTAACAAAAGCCAGGCTTTTCTCCCTCCAAACCCACAGCCACGTGTCGCCTGCCGGAGCCGGGAGCCCACCCGCCACTTGCCAGGCTGCCAGCATCGCTCTCCCTTCTGAGGGATTCGCTGCCGTGCCCTCTGGAACCTGCAAAGCCGCGGCCGCCCAGCGATCCAGGGCTCGGACCCGGAAGTCTGCCCAGGCCCAGGCAAGGCGCGGTTCCAGCTTTACAATCGAGGGACGCCCAGCAGGTGCCCGAAACTTGTCCCTGGGGACAGGTCCCGGCAACAGGTCCGAGGCGAGGCTGGGAGGGACAGGGTGGAGCCGAGTTCCGCCGCGACGGCGGGTGAATCACCTCAGCCCGGCGCCCGGGTCGCCCTCCCAGCGGATGCCAGATCCGGGGAGGAGTAGCAGAGCCGCTGACCACCAGCTACTCATGGATTGCCCGACCTGGAGAAGGGTGACGTCATCGTAGCCGGGAGGTTTTGGAAGGTTTCACCAATAGGAGACAGGCGAAGTAGCTTGCTTTCTGTAGCTCTGGGCCAATACTAACAAAGCAAAAGGGGGCCCGGTTGTCGGTATAGAACCAATGGAAAACAGGGAAGGAGCACGAGGCGGAGTTGAGAATCCTGTTCCCAATTGGAAAGAGGGGGTGGAGCCTGGGCCTTGTCAAGTGTGACCAATCAGCGAGAGGAGCGGACTCCGCGGGGCAGGGCCGTCATGCTCTCCCCCAATCGGACATAGCCAGGGGCGGGGCAGTCTTTGGGGTGCCCAATGAGGAACGCAGTTGAAGCGGGCCTGTCAAGAGAAGGGACTGGGGGCGGGGGGATGGTGAGTCGGGGATAAACACTCCGCGGCGGTGGCGGCTGCTGCTGCTCTTCGGGTTCTGTCACGGTGTTGGCGGTGCCCAGCTCACCGGCCCCCTCCCCCTTCCTGCGAGCGTGGTCGCCAGAGGGGCTCTCTCAACTCTGCTTTGCCGGTCCACAGCAGGGCTTGGGTGTCCGGCGTCGGCTGCGAGCCCGTGGGCAGTGGGGGTTGGTCCCGTGGCTCCGGCCCCCGGTGCAGAATGGCGGCGGCGGTTCGGATGAACATCCAGATGCTGCTGGAGGCGGCCGACTACCTGGAGCGGCGGGAGAGAGGTGCACGGGGACAGGAGGGGTCCGACCTGAGCCAGGGCCAGGGTCTCTGAGGGGCCCCGCTGCGGGTCCCAGCGCCCAGCCGCTCCGGGGGTGGTTGGAGGCGCGGAGAGCGCGATCGCGAGCGCTCCCAACCCCTCCAGCTCTCCCCACTCGCGGTCCGAAGTGAGGCCGCCCGCTGCCCCCAAAGGCAATGAATAGGGGTGGAAAAGGAGCTGCTGCACCCCGAGGTCTCGAGTGTCGCCCTCTCCCCAAACCGTCGAGAATGGGGTGCCCGGAGCCCCCTCCTCCAGGCCCTTGGTTTACCTCACTGGGGTTCCACCCAGCCGGCTCCCAAGTGGGCCTGACGCCCCATCTCCCAACCGGAGGAGCAGCGCCTCCCCTGTCTCTTCACCCCCTGCTCCCGGTGTTTGCCTCGCACCTTCGCCTGAGGCTGGTCCCACTTAACACACCTGCTGGACGTTGCCAATGGGAAACCCAGGCTCCATGCGCTTACCGACTTGCTGGGTCTTTCTCAACAATGAGCAGCTGGAATGCTCCTTACACTTGCTCCGAACTGAGGGTATTCACACAATTTAAAAAACAATCATTGTTCTAAGAATTCCATCTTGCTCCGTTTAATTATTTCCACAATATTATTTTAATGAAAAATAAGTAAATTTTTAAAAGAAAATACTATTGAGGGGGAGAGTATTGGATGTTCTAGGCTCATTCATTAACTGGATCCTCCGGTTTTCTAGAAGCTGAACATGGTTATGCCTCCATGTTACCATACAATAACAAGGACAGAGATGCCTTAAAACGGAGGAGCAAATCCAAGAAGAATAACAGCAGCAGCAGGTAATTTGGTAAATATTTCTCTTTCCTTTTTAGATTATACTGCAGATGACACAGGCTGCAGAATGGAAGTTATCTGTTGTGATTACAACCCAGTAAATTAAGTGGCGATCATGATTCAGTAATGCACACATGGTCTTAAGCCATTGGAGGAAGCAGCTCTTCTGTTTCGGTTGAGAGGGTTGAAAAGAAAAGAGAAATGAACATTATTCCTTTTTCTTTTTTTTACTTTTCATAGTGAGAATTTTATAAACACGTTAAAGTATCAGATTTGGCATAGGTGGTAGGATTTCTTATATGACATGTAAATTAAATGTAGTGGTTTGATCATATAATTTGTCATATCTTTCATAATGGCAAAGAGGAATGAGCAAGGGTAAAATCTGCCTTTTTGGTGATAGAGGAACATGTAGTAAAATATTAGTATGCTACAGCCTTTTTATGTTAGCCTTATAGTTCTTACAGTCTGAATCTCACTAGGAAGTGTTTGGTTAATGGTCAGTGGAATCACATATTAAAGGCTTGAACATAGTTCCTGGTCCATATGAGTACTCCATTAATGCCATTGCCTTTTTTTCCCTCTTTGCTCTTAAAATATAAGTTAGGAAATCTGTTTTATTAGACCCATTCAATTATACCTTTCATTCTACTAAAATCATTGATATTTTCATCACTGATTTAGAATTCTTATCCGTTTCTTATCCTCATGAATAATTCCTTGCAAGTAACTGTATTTGGTTAGTTTCTGCAGCATAACACAGACCACCAAAAACCAGAAGGCTCCTACTTAAACCTAAAACTCACTTGTTCTTGCTGCCTCTTTTGTCCTTGATTCACTCCATTGTCCTTAGAGCTGGTAGAACCACAGGATGTGAGCAGCACACATGTGCTGAGCTCTTGAATAGGAAGGCACATGAAGGATGAACCAGATAATTACCTGGTGGTTTTTCCATTCTCTCCCATCTTTAGCATTACCTAAAGGTGACAGCCAATAGATCTGTGCTTGGGTACCTTGGGCCTTTAAGAAGGATGTCAATACTGACTTGGATTATGCAGTGGTATAAAACAATTTAGCTGTGTTACATATCGTTACAGCATTAATTTTTAAATTTTTGTTTGGAAAATCTTTGAAGCCTTTCGGTTTATTTTTCTGGAAAAAGAAAGCCCATTTAGTGCTTTTGTTCTTGTCCACTCATGATTTGAGAGGAGTTGTCCACATTAATAGCCAAGGCTTAATCCCTAGCACTTTATTTTTCCTGAGTTTCACAGGAAAGTTGGGGGATGTATAGTGGTAGGGAGAGGAAAAGGAGATGTGGTTGAAGAGAAGAGGCTCGGTCCCAGAAGGTGATTAGGAAAGAAAAATAATTATAGTTGAGAATTTCAAGCCAAGAAACAGATTCTTTCTCTTCTCTATAATATGAAAAATGGCTACAGCTCCTGAGTTTTAGAAAAGCTCTATTCTGGTTTGCCTTCCCTGGTTAGAGACATGAGGCTATAACAGTTGTTCCTATTCTTGACTATAATGAATTAGTACAATATCTTCGGTGATGCCAGGATCTCTGAGAGACCATGATTAAACCTGGAGATGGCACCAAACAATCATATGAAGCAAGGGCAAGTTGTTTTGTTTAAATCACTTCCTTCATGACCTATTTGGAATGACCCTTACCTGACCAGTGAGACGTCTCCCCAGAGAATGCAGTTTGACCCCTTGATTTGAATTAGACTTGTATCCAAGGCTATGTATGGTCATGATTTTGAATTGAGGTAGGGGCTATGGAGAGACTACTGCTGGTTTATAAGACCAGTAGGTAACAGTTTATTTTTGTTAAGTTGAAATGCTATGCTCTTTGCTTGTGGAATCTTGGTGGTACTTTTCCTTGGCCAATAAAAAATAAGATTTAGTTGCATATCCAACTTCTTGGGAACTGATCCTAAGTTTCTCTAGTCGCTTGTTAAAAAAACAAAAACAACAAATTATGAATATTGTTTTGGAATTATCTAGAGAACTACTAGAAAACAGGGAGATAGGCTTTTTTATTTTTCCTTTCCTACTGATTTTTGAAAAGTTACTATTTAGAAATGAAATCCAGAGTTTTTAAAAGTATGTTTTGTTGGTTTTTTTTTAATTGGTAAAGCAGACTTTGACACTCATGTAAAAGAGGAAGTTTAGGACTTGCCATCCAGTTCTTTTATGAGACAGTGGCTATATAGCTGACCTGACATGGGGAGTTTTTTTGAACCCGTAGACTTTTCCTATTCTCAGATATTCAATAATTTGGCTTAGTTATCTTTTTGTTAGAATGTATTTTTCAATGGTGACATTTGACCATTGGTGATTGCAGAGTAATCAAATCTTTTTAGTAATCACATGGAAAATAATTTCCACACGAGGTAGCTATATATTTTTGTAATGCTTTAATTATATAAGTGTTTACCCATCAACAGAGTTGGCAGGAAATCTCTGAACTGATCATTTTTGAAAGGTCTGCTTTTTATTAAAAACAAACTCGGTTTCAGTAAACCAAATGCACTTCAGTAATGCCCTAGCCATTAGGTATAAAACCCCTTGTAAAAATCACCATGTGTTCACCCTTAAGTAATCAAATAAGATCCGCAGTTTCTAAAACTCTGTTCAAAGTTTGGAAGGAGTTGTGCTTCCTTTGGAATTTGTTTAAAAGTTTATCTTGAGGATTCCAAATTTTTTATATGTATCTTCAAAGAATGCAGAATTTTTTGGTAAGAGTGCCCTGTGTGCTATTATTTCTCTAATCAGAGACCATGTTTTTTTCAAATATCCACTGTCCTCCACCTTCTGAGGATGGTCCTTGCCTGCAGTGAAACAGGGAAATCTTGACCAGCTGTTATATACTTTCATCCATTTAAAAAATCTGTCAGACTTTGAACTTGTTATTCCCTGTTAAAACTAAAATGCCACGTGCTTTAAAGCCAAAGGTTTGCAGTTGCAGGCCAGAGTCTTGTTAACTATGGTATCCTACTGGCCATTGCAGGAAGTAAACTGTCAGAAAAATATTACTGAAGAATGAATGCTGAGAGATAGCCAGGTGAATCAATTTAAAGCTTTTAAGTTAACCAATTTTGAGGTTCGTATATCCTTTATCTAGAAAACAAATATTGTCTTTCCTCATGAATAAAACTTGGTATCCCAAGAGCCTTGTGGAAGAGAAGTTTTAGTGCCAGATTCGATATTTCCCATACACACACACACACACACTCACATACACACTCACACACACACACACTCACACACACACTCTCTCTCTCGCACTCTCGCACTCTCGCACTCTCGCACTCTCGCACTCTCGCACTCTCGCACTCTCGCACTCTCGCACTCTCGCACTCTCGCACTCTCTCTCTCGCACTCATGCCAGCCCTGGTTACTGGTGAGTGAACCTGGTGATGCCCCTTGATGTACAGGAGTGCTGAGCATTCATGGAAGTAGTGATCTTCCATGATTACTGTGAGAATTTATCTCCTAGGACCAGTAAAGTTCTGATTATAGCTCCAAAAATTTCATAATCAGAGCAAGGGTTTAATCTCCTGAACTGGTTAGATACCAGAGAATTTCCATAAGAAAGATCAAGATTCAGTGTCTTTATAACACTGGGAGGGTGAAGTTCCTCAAGTTATTTATAACTAGTCAGGGAGGAATTGTGTGACGAGGATGCTAAAGTGGCCACATTGACTTCTTGTGACTTTTGTGGAAATCTGTCCATAAATTCTTAGACTAAGCCTTATATTCGAGGTCAGGTATAAATAAGTAATAATATGATTTCACATCCACCACAGCTTTCATCCAAGGCTCTCTAATCACTTTTACAGTTGCTACCTCATTGACCCACACTTGTTCAGTAGAAAATTGAAAATAAGTTTTATTCCCACTTTACAGAGAGGTTAATCAAGGACAGAATGGTAAAACATTTTTATTTCTTTCACAGTATCAGTCAGTGGCAAAGGTGGACTTCAAATTTCACCCTAACTGCTGCTTTAACCAGTCTATCATCTCTATGTTGAGCTGAGTTTTGAAAGCCCCATCCTAAAATCATTTGGTAGCTATTCAATAGTAACATCTTTCAGGAAGTTGTACATGATAAAAAAGTTACTTCAGGGATTAGAAAGATTGAGAGAAGAGGCGTTATTGTTATCCATTTAAAACTAGTGAAAACTGTATCCTATAATGAAACAACTTAGCATAAAATTTTGGTGTATACTATACCTAGAAAAAACTGTGGGGCTGAGGTGGGGGTGCCACCCGCACTGTTGTACCCTCAGCCTAAAGAAAGCTTTGCGGGATTATATGACTCAAATTCACATTGCATTGTGCAGCTTTTTTTGTTTGTATAAATAGACCCCTTTTATTTCCTTTCTTAAAATGGATTACTTTTCCACTAGGGATTGTATGCCTCTTAGTTTGTCATTTCTCCTTGCACTCTATTTTATACATATACTTTTATCTAACTCTCCACAGGGAGTAATTTCTTTAGTAGAGCCCACAGAGTTTTTCTCACTTTCTCTGTCTTCTCTCCTACCAACTTTGGAGAGAAAGAAGTTAAAATAATTGTTGGTGTTGAAGTAGTCCTTTAAGACAAAAATAATTTTACTCTTTTCTTATTGTTCCCTCTTTCAGATCAACTCACAATGAAATGGAAAAAAATAGGTGAGTTGGGGATTTGGGGGCTGCAGTGGGGGGCAGTTTTGATGCATTTTATATTGAGACTCATTTGTTCTTCTTGACTCCTCCCATAAGTGGCACCTGATTTAAAAGCTCACTCTGGGCCCTCTAAGCAGTACTGCCCAGAAATCACTTAGGTAGCTGAATAAAGATTCCTAAAATTCAGGCAAATAATATGCATAGCAGAAATTGGCCGGCCGGCCTCACTGGGCTCCTTCTTGCCACAAGCCTAAGTTGATCTCTCTCACCTAGATTGCCTCTTGCTGCTTATTTAAATCTTTATTTTCCAAATCACGTTTGCCTCTCCTTCAATGATATAGCCTGGTGGTTCACAGCTCTGGTTACACATTAGGATCAGTTTCAAAGTTTTTATTGCAATTTTTAAAAATATTTTTAATGCTAAATACATTATGTATATACACTTATCCATTTGGGAGGAAGAGAACACATTTTATTTGTGCTAATTTTATAACTTTTTATTATAGAATTTTTCAAATATAAAAAAGTAGAGTGAATAATGCAATCAACTCTCTTGTATCCATCACCCAGCTTCAACAATTATCAGCATTTTACCAATCTTATATAATTAAAACCACCCCATCCATGGGATCTATATATATTTTTTTCCCCTCTTTAATTTCCGCCCCGCACCATTTCCACCCCTGACCCAGGGATCGGCGTCTTCTCCCACACGCTCGTGGCGTTCACCCAGGGCCTGGCGCACCCGGGGTATGGTCCGTGGCTCCACCTGGGGCACGAACCCAGGACTTTCTGCATGTAAAGCAGATGTGCTAACCACTATGGAGCTACCCCCCATGGGATATTTTTAAAGCAAATCTTCTATCTCTAATAAAGATTTTTTACAAATTAAAAATACCACTTTCTTTAACCATGATAATTGTTGTGGCACTTTAAAAGAAAAACCAAAAAACAATACCCAGACCTCACCCCTAGCAATTCTAATTTAATTGGTTTCGGTTTAGACTCTGCACAAGTATTTTTTAAAAGCTCCCCAGGTGGTTCTCATGTGCATCCAAGCTGAGAACCATTGAACAGGCGCATCCTGGTCTCTGAGCTCTCTTCAGCTTGAAATATGGCTACCCATCCAGATTGAATGGCTTTCTTGGTATCCTGCATGAATGAGATGATGTGTTATATGGCTCTGTAAATACATGTGATTATACCATTCAAACCCTCTTTAGAGAGCCTGACCCTGAAAGTCAGGATCTGCATGACGTTTTGTCAGTGAAAGGGCACACCAGATCTTTACTAGGAAGGCGAATCTTGGAACAGGGCATTTAATATTACTCCAGTGTGGAATTGTGTGTGTGTGTGTGTGTGTGTGTGTGAGAGAGAGAGAGAGAGAGAGAGAGAGCGCGCGCGAGAGCGCGAGCGCACGCAAGTGTGTCACACTGCACATGTGCTTCTCCCCATCCTTTCTTCCCTTTTAATTTCTCTGTGATTGTGACTAGCTGTGTTTTATATCAGAGCTTCCTTTATGCTTTAGGGATTTATATATCATGAACTGGAAATTCAAAAGTATCTCTTCTGAAGGTGGAAAGAGAGTCAAATATGGCTTCTCTTTTTCATCTTTAGATTTTCTTCCATCTTCCTGACTTTGGGGTGAGCGGGGTGAACTGGGAGTTTTTCAGCTGAAAGGTCTTCTAGTTCTCCTCCCCTCTAACATTTTACTTAGGCATTTTTTTTAATTATTAAAATTTCATCCCTTCAGAGAAGGGCTCTTAGGCTTACTACAGCTTTGTGCAAGAATGCCACAGAATGTCAATTTAATTATTTATTTTAGCAGTTCAAAAATGTATTTTCTGCCTACACTATCCCAAGAACTTTTGCTCAGCACTGAGTATTAAATGAGTTCCTATTGGGGTATTAAATCAGCATGGTCCCCATCAAGAGAAATGTAGTTTGTTTAAAGAGAAAGCTGGAGAGACAAGTTCAGTTAATACACTAAGGGCTAGGACTGAGGTGTGCGCAGGCAATTGTGGAGGCAAAGAGTCTAGAAGACTGGATTCAAAGTCACCACTGGACAAGCTGCTTATAATTCTGACTGCTCATGTATGACTAGTCAACTTTTGCCTGTTGAAGGGTTTCTTATCTACTTTCCTTATTGTCCTTTTTTTTTTTTTTTAAATTTGGTCCTTTAAGGTCTTGATAATTCTTTTAGTCTAGAGCATGTGATGCGAAGAGAAGGAAGGAAGGACTCAAATTCACTTAATTTAACCAAGCATTAGTTGCTCAGTCCAGGAGAGGAGGTCAGCCTTGTCAGGCTCTTCTTCCTAATTGATGTGGATGCTTAAGATTTTAGGGTTTTGAGGTCAGCTGAACAGTTACTCTTTGAGCCTCCCTGGTTTTAGTAGCCAAATGCCATAGAATAAAACCTCTTTGCTAAATGCTACTACTCCTTAGCCATTTTCTACCTTAACATCATCACATAAAAAGATCGGCATGGCTCCCCCCTACCACTTGCCAAAAAAAAGTAGCAACTTAAGAACTTCTAACTGTGGGATTTTTTTTCTCTTTGATATTGCAGAGTTCATTTTACTTAGGTTTTTTTTTTTACACAGAAACCTTTTCTGTGGCACTTTCGAGATTTTGAATAATTGGTGTTCATCAAGACTCCACTCTGAGGATATTATACCCTACATTGCTGCATTGGTGGGGAGAGAAAAGGCTTCCTGTATGGTGGAGGTGGGAGATGGTGGTGGCAATGGTATCTTCCATTCAGTAGACTAGGTGTCTGTGACCACCGAAGGTGCCATGTAGTAGGTGCTGGGAATGGAGCCCAGTGAAGACCCAGCCCTGGGGTGGAGGGCTCGGTTCAGTATCACTGTAGATACCAGAGTCTGTCGCTTGGACTTGGCTTCTCTGCATTTTAATTCATTTTGTGGGTCTAGCCTCCTAAGGAGACACTCTTGGTGAATGTGTGGTGTGTGTTTTTTTCTTTAAAATAATCTTGTAGAAAAACGAGAAATATAGAAAATCATACAAAAAATTAAATCATCCGTAATTCTAGCAGCCAGAGGAAACCAATGGAACTTTGAATTGTTTCTTTCCAATTGTTTTTGGAAAACAACTTTAAAAATATAGTTAAGAAAATTGGAAAATTCAGAAAAGCACAAAGAATATAAAAATCAGCTGTAATAGACCTTCAGCAGTAACAACTGCTAATGTTCCTGCTAAGTTCTATATCCACCTAGACTTTTTAAAATCAATATGGGATCATAGTAAATAATTTACCTCTACTTTTTAAGCTACATTATGAACTTTTCCAACGTTAAATCACCTTTTCTAACATTACTTTTAATAGATACCCAGTATTACATCATATGGCTATGCTATAATTCACATAACTAATCCCCTATTTTAAGTTCTTCCCAGTTTTTTGCTAATATAAACCATGGTTCCTTAATCTACTTTGTAGATAAATCTCTGTCCAACATCATAATTATTTTCTTAGGGTAGATTTATAGTTGTGAAATTAATGTTATACACCTTGTTTTGGGTTTTGATGTTGACTGCTGGCTTGCCCACCAGGCAGGTTATAGGCTATATTTTTCCTGTACCTTCACAAGCTTATAATTTAAGACTTTCATGAATTTGATTAGTAAAAAAAAAAAAAAAGAAAAAGCAAAAACACAATTTGTTTTAATTTGTATTTCTTATATTCCTAGCAATTTAACAATTTCCATATCTTTAACTCTGTATGCGTGTGTGAGAGAGAGAATTGCCTGTTAAACTTTTGCCCAATTTTCTATTGAGAAGTTTTTATTTTGAAAAGATTCTATAACATAAAGGATATATATGAAAAAGACTGCCCCTTTGTGTATCACATAACTTGCGAAGTTTATCATTTACCTTTACAGAATCAGTCTCCTCTCACTGTTTGAAGTTGCTGTCTCTGTCGTATACTAAATTTTTGTTTATGGCTGAGTCTGTTTCTAGACTTGTTCTTCTGTTTCACCGATCCAGCTCTTCCTGTGCCAGTATACATTGTTTTAATCATTGAGGTTTTATCATGCGCTTTGGAATCTGGTAAAGCAAATCTCTACTCTTCCTCCCTTCTTTTTTTATTTTACCATGTTTTTAGCTATTTTCATCAGTTTCTTTTTCCTGATAATTTTTATAATTGATTCACCAATTCCTCCAAATACTTTTGGGATTTTTAGAATCAAAATTAAATAACTCCAATATAACTTAACCCTAAAAAGCTCATATTTACGTATTAGATCTTTCTATCCAGGATTTGGTGTGTCTTCATTCAGATCTCTTTTCTGTCTCTTAAGTTTTATAGTGTTTCCATGTGATCCTGCACATTTATTGTAAGAGGTATTCTTGGGTTTATATATTTTTTAAATCGCTGTTGGTGTCCCATTGTAATTATTTATTATTGGAATATAGAAAATCTTTTTATTTTTGTTATATGCCTCTAATTGTTAATTCTGTTGTTTCCTTCTCTTATCTGGGAATTCTTCTGGTTTGAATGCCTTTCAATACACCCTTCAGCTAATGGAGACTGAGTGAATACATATAAGCTGCAGCCAGTGGGTCAGGAGTCAGGTGCTAGAATGGACTTTTTTTCAGAAGAAGGCTCTAGCATCTCCTTTAATAGTAGACACTTGTTTTTCTAGAATGGTACATATGCAGGCCTTGCTGGAATTAGGCAGCTGGTCTAGAGAGAGATTACCTCTGCCAGAGTCTTCTCAACCCCATGACAAAAGATTTTTGTCTGAACTCCGCGGGGAGGACTCAGCCTCCTGATCTAAGCTGTTATTTTCATTTGGTGGCACTTTAGAGATTCTGAATAATTGGTATTCATCAGGACTCCACTCTGAGGATATGATACAGTATTTCAGTGGCATCTGGTCTGGCATGTGAAACCATTTCAGTCAGGGTATTCTAATTCATTGCAGGTCCCTATAGTAGTTTCTTTGTGGTTTTGGCTTCTCAAATGGCCAAACTCCATATGT